CACAGTGGCCACATTTCGAGTCCTCGACAGCCATGTGCGGTGAGAGCTACACGTCCACGTCCACGGAGCTGTCAGTGGCCTTGCAACAGACCGTGAGCTGCTTGGGGCAAGGGCCTGGCCTGCACCAGGTGCTCAGTTCATTGTGAACGTGGGAGTGAATGAAACGAAGGGAGAGCGGAGGAGGGGTTCCACTGGCCCGGAGTCCATCACAACAAACACCTCAGGAGGAGTCACGGTGCTCTCTGCCCGGGAAAATGACTTCAGTGATTATCAGTGGCTGTCGCATTTAAAACAGACAATCGATCACAGGCCGTGAGAAGAAACACTTTAGACACTAAATCACACACAAACACACCCAGAGACATCCATGTCTAACAGCGAACGCAGCTAAGAAGACAAAGGCCAAAGGTGCACGAATACAGAGACACGCACACATGAGAACACCGCACAGCTGTGTGCCCAAGTCCAGGAAACCGAGGAATTCACAACCCACAGACCCACAGACCCACAGACCCACAGACCCACAGACCCAGCGCGCCGTGAACCAGGGCAGCACAGCGCACTGGCGGAAACAGACGCAACCTCCGCCACAGAGCCCCGCCCCCCGCGCGCACGTGGCCTTGACCATCCCAAGCTGCCCACGGCTCCAAGGTACGGACTCGGAGGCAGGAAGTGGGAAGGGGAGCGAAGCGCCCACAGTGAGCCAGGAAGCTGCTAGCAGAGATCACAAGTAGTGTGATGGGGACAGTCACCTGCTGGCTCACCTGTGCTGGGGAGAGGGGCAGCATGAGGCCAGTGAGGCTGCAGCTGGCGCGGGGGAGCTGGGGGGACAGAAAGCCCTAGAAAGAGAATGAGGCTCTGGCCGGCAAGCCCAGTGCAGCATGGGACCCTCCCCAGTCAGACCTGCAGGAGTCCAGCCCAGGAGGCGGCCACAGGCCCTTCCCGGCTTCCGTGAACCTGAGCCCCCAGGTCTGGCTCCTCAGCCCAGTCTCCCCTCCAAGGGAAGGCTGGGAGTCAGCTCCAGCCCACCTGTCCGTGGCAAGTCCCTTTGCCTCCAGCCCAGGTTCCTGGTGGTGAAGGTGACTGAAAATACCTATTCCACGGGTTGGTCCGGAGCATCAGCTGAGCAGCCTGGAAACACTGTACCTTCTGAACCCTACACCTGGCTGTCTTTTCTCTCCCATTACCGCGGTCTGAGAACAGTCCACGCCCACATTTTCTAAATCATCTCCAAACGCCCCCTCTTCCTGCCGCTCACTCTTCCTAAACACTAACTCCAAGCAGCTGCAGGACCTTCGGAAACCCCAGGGTCCACACAGTGACCCGGACTCTGCCGCCAGGTGAGCTGGCCTCGCAGGAGGACGAGGGCATGGGCCGTTTCCAGAGGCGGCAAGTGTGCGGAGGTGTACTTCCCAGAGGTGCTGCGGCCACGGCGGCCCACTGGCCCCTGGACAGCCCTAGCCAGGCTGGCTCGGCCTTGGCGGGGAGGAGGTGCTCCTCTGGGCCCGGTGGGGTGCCTAACCCAGTGGGCAGCGGGGCTGGGGGCCTGAGTGCCAGGCAGGGTGCCTGAACTGGAAACCTTAGAAGCTCCTGCTGGCCTGAGACTCAAAGGCTCAGCTCAGGTGGGCCCCAGTGGCCTCACACCCCCACTTGGCTGGGGGGAGGGAACCAGGACAGCCTAGTTTCCCAGCCCTACGGAGGCCACACCAGCATGGGGCCCGTCCCCTGGGGTTTGCTCTGGCTAGCCACTGGACAGTCAGCTCCTCTCCAGGCATCAGTCTCCTCTCCCTGGACCCACCAGACCTCACACCTTCCTCTCACCCAGAGTTTAGGACCAAGGAGGACACACAAACCAATCACTAAATGGCTTTAAGATCTTCTCAGAAATGCAGGGCAAGTGCGCCTGGGCCCTGCCCACAGACAGACAAGCAGGCCCAGAGGTCCTGCCAGGCAGGTGAGCACCACCTCCACCTAAAGGCCGGACTCCACCCCACGCCCAGCATCCTTCCACGACTCCCACAAGGGCTCCCCAGCCCCTCCAGGGTCCCTGCCCACTCTTTCTCTCTGCCCCTCAAGACCACCTCCCTCAGCACTCACTCAGCCCTGGTACACCCCCATCATGACCCTTCTTCCAAGCCCTCCCAGCGTCTTCACTCCAGCATCTTCACTGTGGTCCCCAGTCCCAGGAGAGGAGACAAAGGTGAGGAGCAAGGGGGAAGGACAGGCCATGCATCCTCCCACAGAAAGACCATGCCGTACGGAGGAGGCCCAGGATGGGGTGGAGGGGCTTAAAGCTTGGGATGGGATTTGTTTCTGGTTAGCCATGTGACCTAGGGCCAGCCTCTTTTCTTCTCTGGGCCTCAGTTTCCCCATCTGCACATGCAAAGAATGCTTGTTCCTGTGTGTAGAATTGTTACATCAAATGGGGGGAGAGTTTGAAAAGACTGAAAAATGTTCACAAGGTGCAAGATGAATGTTTTAGGTCACTGCTGTCGCCACATCCCCTCACCTTGTAAGAACTGTGCTACAGGGTTTCCCCAGTAGGAAGAGCCCCATTTAGTGACCTCAGTTTGCACCCACCAGCCTTCGCTGGGAACCAGGTCAATAGACAGCCATGCCTGCCCACCTCCCGGAGGTCCCTGATACGACTCCAAGCCAACCTCTGTGGCACCTGCTTCCAGGACTTCTGCCTCCACTTTCCTTACATGCATACCTTTGCTGGGACTGTCCCACCTCCACCTCGCTGCCCCTACACCTGCCCCATATCTGTGGCATCCGCATTCCAGTCTCCTTTTAGAGGAGAGAGCAGCACCCACACATTCCTCCACCCCAAGTCCAGGACTCAGGAGCCTGCCAAGGCCTGGGATCCCCATCACCTGATCTGAAGGCCAGGGACCAAAACTAACTGCTCACATTTCAATCTGTAAACACTTTTCTAGTCTTTGTTGCATTGAAAGGAGCTTGGGAAAAGGAGGAAGTGTTTCCCTTGTCAGATGAGGAAAGCGAGGCCCAGAGGTGACATTCTCTGCCTCAGAGAAAGATGCCTCCTTCTGCACACCCTGACCATGCTCTTCCCTCCAGGCCACTCGGTCCTGGGAAACCTTGGCGTCCTCAGCTGAACCCTCTCCAGGGGCCAATGCATGGGCCAGACCACCTCCACCATGCTCTGCACTTGGCTCTGGACCTCACTTGCCTTCCCAGGGGTAACAATGGGTCTTATTTTTTTTTAATCCTCACCCGAGGACTCTTTTTTTTTTTTTTTTTTTTTTTTGCATTTATCTTCAGATAGAGTGGGAGGGAGAGAGGGAGGAAGAGAGAGAGAGAAGCATGGATGTGAGAGAGACACATCAAGTGGTTGCCACCCACATGACCCCAACCGGGGCCGGGAACAAACTGCAACCGAGGTACGTGCCCTTAGCGGGAACTGAACCCGGGACTCTCTGGGCTGCGGGCTGATGCTCTAACCGCTGAGCCAAACCAGCCAGGGCAACAATGGGTCTTCATTTCCCAAATGCCACCACCGCTGTCACAGAGCACAAACCCCACAGTGCAAGGTCACTAAGTGGAACCCAGGCTATGCTTCACGCCTCCAGACCTCCTACTGCCGCTGCCTTAGTTCAAGCCTCACCACTTCTCCCCTGAACACTGCATCGGTTTTATGGCTCATCTTGCCCCTCTAATCCATCCACCACCCAGAACGCAAAGCAATTTTCCTAAAATTACAATTTGGACATGTTTCTACTTTGCTCAAAATACTTCAGTGGGTCCTCAACACTTTCAGGCTCAGCTGAAAATGTCTTGGCAAGACCATTTAAAATCTGGCCTCTGCTCACCTCTCCTCACTGAACCCCAACCTGCCCCACTCTGCAGCCCCCTGACCTTGCCGTGTCATGGCACGTCTGTGACCAGTCCTGGAATACTCTTGCCCAGCTCTTCCCTGTCCAGCCCGGATCAAGGATCACTGTGATGAGGAAGGTTTGGGGATGTCAGGCTCAGTTGGGGGCTCTTCTGTTTAACCTGTGCACCCACCCAACATCATCCACATGGTATAATAATATTTCGTCAGCCTCCACAAGACTGAAAACATCTCTCTCCAGCACCCAGCACAAAGTCCCCTGTGCTGACAAACCAGATAACAATTTTAATAAAGGAACATTTAAATAAAAGAAAATTAAGTCCAAAACAGATTACAGAATCACAGAACCTTAGAGTTGCCTGGAGACTAGTACCCTCCAATCTCTTCATTTTACAGATGCACACAGGGACCCTAAAAGAGCAGCCTAGACGTTTCCCACCCCTGTGCTCCCCCTACCCCCAACCTCTGGGGCTTTGACCACACCCAACCCAGGCTCTGGCTGACCAAGACCCAACTCCAGGCTCTGCCCAAAGGGCTGCAGGGGACATCATTGCAATGTCCTCCACCGTTACAGGGGAAGAAGCCCCCAGCCCCTACCCCATCCCCACTGAAATCTTGGCTCCTGTGCCCATTTTCCTGGAATGGAGGTTTCCGGGAGACCCCTACACACACACTTCCCATTTCTGTGGGGCTTCCCTCTCATTGTTCTCACCCCAACGGTATCCCCACTCATTTAATGATTTATTGGGCACCCACGTGTCACTCTGCTGGGAGCACTGGGGCTCCTGCCCTCCAGAAGCTGGGTCTTCCTGGGAGACTGTCACAGCTCCTGCACATCAGGACAGTCCTGCGCTCTCCACCCGGTTCCTCCCGCTGTCACCCGCCCCTCCCGGCTCTGTGTCCCGTCTGCAGTCCCTCCCACGCACGATGGGCCCGTCCCCACGGGCTGAGTGGAAGTGGGGAAAGTTCGAGGCCGGAGCGCCGGGGACTCAAGGGACCCCGAGGCCGCCTCCAGCCCGGGGATGGGTGGAGGCGGCGCGGGAGAAGGGGGCCGGGCGCGGCCCCACAGCACGGTCTGTCCCTCCGCACGCCCCTCCCCGCCGGGATTCAGAAGGGCTCGGAGGGAGGGGACGGGAATAAATACCTTTGACTTTGAGGCTAAGGTTAACGGGAACTGCCACCCGGGGCGACTTGGGCACTGGGCTCCCGGCCCCGCCAGACCCCGGGCAGGGGGACGGGCGCGAGCCCCTGATTGGCTGGCGGGCCTAGCCGTCCCCAGGGCCACCCCGCCGTCTGATTGGCTACGCTGCTCAGATGACCATCTTGGCCCTATCGGAGAAGCCCGCGGGGCGGCCCCTTTGTTCTCAGGAGCCAATAGCCGAGGTAGGCGGGCTGACCTCGCTTCCCTGGGGCCTCGCGGGGCCCAGCGCACTGTTAGAGCGCTGGCCTTGGGGCACCGGACCCTGTCCCCAGCTTCGAGGGGAGGAGGGGCAGGGGTGAGGCCAAGCTGTGACGGACGGGAATCCCCTCCGCTCCGACTAGCATGTAACATGGTGCATGTAACATGGTGTAGCATGGTGGTGGATCTCCGCACCACGGCACACCAGGTGTTAGGATGAGACGTGCGTGTCTCATGTGACAGGAGAGAAATCGCCCTCCGCACCCGCGGGGCCCTGCACGCCGTGGGCGCGTGACAAGCGATCCCTGGGTCTCTACAGACTCAGACATCAACCTAACTCAAGAGACAGCGACCTGCGAATAGAGGCAGGGTCCAGATGGCCAAGGAGGGTCTTTCTGTTCCCAGAAACCTTCAGGAAGAATGTGTTCCTTTGGGTTGTGGACAAAAAGGGGCCACATGCTAACCTGACAAGCTCAGGAAAGGCCTGGGTGGCGGCCTTGCAAACCCAAAGACCTAAAGTAACCACAAAGAATGGCCTGAAATTAAAACTTTTTAACTAAAAACACTTGAAGGCAGGTAGCCTTGTGCTAGGCCAGTATCTCCCCTGACAACTTTCACCTTAATTAAGCCTATTGTCTTTTTGCATCTGATAGCTACCTTTGAAATGTCAGGGTAATTTCCTTTTTCCAAACCCCTGGGGGCACAACTAATACACCAAGGTGGAGAACACAAATCCCCTCATTGTAATTATTATCATGTTAATTGTTGACTGTTAACTATCTGTACCCACCTAGGTAAAAAAAAAAAAAAAGCTATCATTTTGCTTTCTCCCGCCTCCCTAATCCATCACCAATGGATTTCGTGTAACTCACTACATGATTGTAATATACAAAATAAGGTGCCAAACTGCCATTCTCAATCCATTCAGGTTTTGCTTCCCGGAAATTGTGGACAGTTTTTGGCTCAAGGAAACGCACAAAAGGAGGTTCATACAAACCGAAGCTGGGCTCTCTGAGACTTCCTACAAACCTCACTGCTCAGCCACTGGACTATATTCTAATTAATGTCAGCAGCTGCCCTTGAAGCATTTGCCATGGGCCCAGCTGCTGTTTAGCCTCCTCACACAACAGAAACTAATGACCGGGATTCTAGTAGTTTAAAGAGTTGCATACACACCTTACTGGATTTTTGCGGGACCCAAGTTGGTTCTGTCGTCTATAGAAGCATTTGTAAAGTAACCCTATGCAGAAGCCAGGCATCACTAAACCATCAGCTCTTTAGAGTCCTATTCATCTCTTCATTTTCTCCATCACCTAGCAAAGGCTTGTGGATTCGCGCTCCCGTTCCAGATCTGCCACTGTCCCTCTCTGGTCCTGTTTCCTCCTCTACAGAGTGAGAGATTTCCTCCAGGTTGACATTTCATGACCAAGGTTATCTCAAGGGTAGAAAGATTGAAGCAGAACTGGGGTCCTATTTCCATAAAGTAAAAATGGGGGAGGCTCTATGTGCATTATCTCCAAATGCACAGAACACATTTCTGAAAGGACACCACCTTCCAATTCCGGACACGGAGTAAAGCGAAACGCTATGGAGGGTGCAGCGTGGATGGGATGAAAGACTTGGACATTAAAAAATACATCTACACCCTGGCTGGTTTGGCTCAGCCATTGGAGCATGGGCCTGCGGACCAGAGAGTCCCCGATTCGGTTCCCGCTAGGCGCACATTCCAAAAAATAAATAAATAAATAAAAAATACATCTAAGTATATCTGCCTTGCTTAATTTTGACATGAGAATTGAATACTTCTGTCATTGTAGAAGAAAAAGGGAAAAGAGGACTCCTTAGGACAGAAGGGCAGCTCCTGCCAGCAGAGCACTGACCATCCAACCCAGGTAGTTCCTCTCTGGACAGCATGTGCCATGTTGAGCAAGGGCTTGGCACCCACTGGGCCCCCTGCGGGACTCAGGAACTATGGGCAAGTTAGCTCTTTCCTGCCTTACCAGTCCCCTCAAGGCCACTTCTGCGGTTTTCCCTGACCCTTGGTCCTCTCCTCACCATCTCTACCCAAAAGCAGTGGCCAGCATAGCAGTAGAGGACCCGTCAACACCTGCCTTCCCCACACACCAGGTATTTCCTCTGAAGGTGATTTTTTTAAAAAGTCAGGCCCCTGATCAGATTCCCTCTCCCTCATCCTTTTCTCTGACACTCCCCCTAATAGTAACCCTATATGCCTGAGGAACTACCTCCTGCTCCCTGACCGTCACCCCAACATCTACCTACTTTCCTGATACCACCCCCACCCCACCCCCATTAAGCACTCCTCCCTTCCCCTGAAGTCCTCAGCTCCCTAGACATATTTAAGTAAGGCTTTCCTGATACAATGCCCCCAGGCTCTGAAAGCTAATTTGTCATCAACTACAGACTTTTAAGTGGCCCCATAATGCCACAAGCCAATAGGAAGCAGTGAAGCTACCTGCTTCCTCCCTGCACCCCTGGAGCCCCATGCACTCGTCTACCTTGCTCTACTGTTTGTGTACACAGATATGTCCACCTCAGTTAGGCCTCCTAAGGGGAAGGATTGGGGCTTATCTTTCTAAGCCCTCTGTCTGTTTCCATCCCGACATCAAGCACACAGTAAGCAATGAATACTTAGCTCCACCAAAAGCAGCAGCACGCTCCATGACAGAGGTCCAAGCACAGGTTTCAGGAGTCGACACCTCTGGCAATTACATGACATGACTTTGAACAAATGTGTTCATCTGTAATAGAAGAGTACTTACCACACGAGGATTATGTGAACACTTCTTTGCAAGATGCAATTCACATAAACAAGTCATGGCTGTTATTATTATGCAAGACTATGCCAGGTGCCGGTGACCTGTGCAGAAATTACTAAGACTGGCAGGAAAAGGGCCTATTGACTGCCTATTGTCAAAAATAGGCAGTTACAGCCTGGCCGGTATGGCTCAGTGGTTGAGCATTGAACCATGCACCAAGAGGTCGTCAGTTCAATTCCCGGTCAGGGCACATGCCCAGGTTGTGGGCCCAATCCCCATGGGGGGCATGCAGGAGGCGGCCAATCGATGTTCTCTCTCATTGATGTTTCTATCTCTGTCTTCCTCTCCCTTCATCTCTCTCTAAAATCAATAAAGGGAGGGAAAAGTATATATAAAAAAGGCAGTTATATTTGCATGAAACAGCACCAGGAAGTGTCCCCGCAACAGACGTGGGGAACTGGAGCAGACCAGCCAGGGAGAATAGAATCAGAACTTCCCCTCATAACTGGCATCCAACAAGTCTTACCTGATCCCACAGAAGCTGAGCCCCTAGAGAACTTGCCCCACTATTTGGATGTGCCTGGCCTTCCCCGGGGAAGAACCGAAGCGGAGACAGAGAGGTTCAAGTTGGGGCACGTGGCCTGTTACCAACCCCCCTCCCCACACAGCACCCCCTTCCTCAGAACAGAGGGTGCTGCTCCCCCCTCTAATGCCACAGCTCCCCAGGAGAAAGGAACACTTCTCAGCCGCCAGTTCTAAAACCAAATCTTTATTCTCTAGTTTGAAAAGGAGGGTAAGTGGTGGTTCTGTTTAGTTCCGAAGAACAGAACAAGGCCCAGTAGGTAGAAATTCTAAGAAAGCAGATTTCATTTATTATAAGGAAGAACTTCTAACAATTAGAATTATCCTACAATAGAGCCAGGGCCTCAGGAGGTGGGGACTCCCTGTCATCTAAGTGTTCAAGCGAAGGCTGGGCATCTGAACACTAGAAATGTTGAAAAGGAAACTCACCCCTATCTTCCCCATCAGCTGACCCTCCGTTACAGTGAGGCGGGCCTTTCCACAACATGTGAGGTTCTGGGGGGTGAGGAGGAGGGTTGGGGTGCTCAGACAAAAGCCTGGACACAGGACTGCTGACAGCCAGGGGATGCTCTAAGTGCAGGGAGGGTGGTGGATAAAGCAAGTCAGATGGGTAGGGAGACACCCCCGGACTGACCTTCAGGGAGGAAGGTGAAGCCAAGGCTAACAGTAGATGGGTCTCTCCAAGTCTGAGTGCCAGTGCAGGGGCAGGCGGAAGGGACAGGGTTGGGACAGGTCAGAGCAGCTTGGCTTCACCTTCCAGGGCTGCCTAACAAGGCCAGCAGGTTCTCCCAGGTGTATCCAACTGGTCGGCTCTGCTTCCGGAGCACTCTTTACTAGGGGACTGTACCACGCCTACTTCCAAAAATTAGCTGAAGGAGCTCATAATAAAAGACAGGGACATTAAGGCGTTAACACCAGAGAAGGGTCATCCTGCCCACCGGTGGACCCTCCAGCGGAGGACAGACACTAAGGGGTGGGTACAGGTGCTATTGCTACATTTCCAGGGCACAGGACAGGCAGGACGGAACCTTAGCAAACACCAGCTGGAGGCCGGTCCCTGCGCTCTGCCTGGGTGCAGAGGCCGACCTCGCTGTCACGGGGGCGCACTCCCTGCCTCTCCAGCCCTTGCTACACTACCAGCAGCAGCACAGGCCCCCAGCCCCACTGCGCTGCTCCCGCATGAAGGACGCTTCTGCCCTCAGACGTCGTGCTTCTTCTGATGGGCCAGAAGCTTCTCCTCGTCGTCAAAGGTCTGGCCACAGATGGCGCAGCAGAAGGCGCCGTCCCGGATGTGGCTCTTGCGGTGGGTGATGAGATTGGACTTCTGGCTGAAGCTCCTGTCGCAGTCGGGGCAGGCGTAGGGGCGCTCGCCCGTGTGGATGCGCCGATGGGACACCAGGTTGGACTTCTGGCTGAAGGCCTTGCCGCAGTCGGGGCAGACGTAGGGCTTCTCGCCGGTGTGGATGCGCCGGTGGGCGGCCAGGTAGGGCTTGTGGCGGAAGGCCTTGCCGCAGTCCGGGCAGACGAAGGGCCGCTCGGGCGCGTGGTCGCGCCGGTGGGCTGCCAGGTGGCTGCCCTGGGAGAAGCGGCGCCCGCACTCCTCGCAGGCGAAGGGCCGCTCCCCCGAGTGGACCCGCGAGTGGGCCACCAGGTGGGTCTTCTTGCCGAAGTTCTTCCCACACTCGGTGCAGGCGAAGGGCCGCTCGGCGGTGTGCTGGCGCTGGTGGGCGCGCAGGAAGCGCTCCAGCCGGAAGCTGCGGCCGCAGTCCTCGCAGCTGTGGAGCGAGGGGGGCGCTGCCGCCTGGTCGCGGGGGGCCTCCCGCAGGGGCGCCGGGGCGGGCTCCGGGGCGGGCCTCAGCGGCGCCTCTGGGGTGGGCTCTGCCGAGGGCTCCGGAGGGCCGGCGGAAAGCTGCGGGCTCCGCGAGCCGGGGGCGCTCTGGGCGGACCCTTCGGATCGCTTGTGGATCTTGCTGTGGGACAGGAGGTTGGGTTTGTGGCGGAAGCGGCGCCCGCACTCGGTGCACGGGTAGGGCTTCTCGCCCGTGTGGATGCGCCGGTGCGAGGTCAGGTAGGGCTTGTTGGTGAAGCGCTTCCCGCACTCGGGGCACTGGTGGGGCCGCTCGCCCGTGTGCACGCGGCGGTGGGCGATCAGGTTGGGTTTGTGCCGGAAGCGCTTGCCACAGCAGGCACACTGGAAGGGCCGGTCAACGGCGTCTCCACCGGGCCGGGGGGCGGTCACTGCCGGGCGGCCCCTGGGCCGGGGCCCGAGCGCCTTGGCCGCTGCCTCCTCCAGGGCCTCCGCTACATGCACCCGCTTGTGAGCAACCAGCTGGTCCCACTGGGCAAAACTCCGGCCGCAGTTGCCGCATATGAAGGGCCGGGCCTCGGGGGCAGGGGGGTGGCACCTCTGCACATGCACTCGAAGCTGCTTTTGTCGCCAGAAGCGTCTCTCACATTCCGGGCAGGCGATGGGCCGCTTGGCAGCTGAGTGGGCCCGCAGATGCAGAACCAGGGCCACCCAGCCTCGGAAGCTCTGCCCGCAGAGGTGGCAAGCAAAGCCCAGGTCTGGGGTGGCAGCGGCATGGACCTGGCAGTGCAGTGCCAAGAAGGGGGCATGCCGGAAGCGTCGGCCACATTCCGGGCAGGCCAGGGGCAGGCGGGCCTGGCAGTGTCGGGCATGAAGCCACAGAGCCACCCAGCCAGGAAAGTGCCTTCGACAGTGGGCACAGCGATGAACCCGACCTGGCACTTGGCTGCCCAACTGGGCCACGGAGGTGCCTTGTAACCTCAGCCCATGGGGTTCCTTCTCTAGGGTCTGGGGCGGCTCCTGGGAGGGCCCAGAATGGAGCTGGGGCTGGGCCGGGCCCACAGCCAGGGGGCCCCTGCAGCGTCGTTCCAGCATTGGTCCTTCCTCTGTTGTGGGTAGAAAAGCACAGTCAGCTAGAGGTTCACTCACCCTGCCCCCATTCCTCCCTTGCCACCCCCAGCCCAGGGGGGAGCTCGCCCCTCTGGATTCCTAGAGCCTTTAAATCCAGGCTACTCTTCTATATTAGTTCAACCTTGGCCTTTTAGACACATTTCAAGTATATTTCTCAAGTCTTTATTGACCCTGACACTTCTTGGAATCCCCCTCTGGGCCACCATGTGTCTGGCATGGAGTAAACACTCCAGTATTGGCAGCATGAACATTCCTGCCTCGCCAGAAAGCGCGTCACCTCTCCCTGTGGTGCTTCATCCTTGTTCCAAGTGTGGCCTGCTGCCCTCTCCTGTCCCTGCTATTTCCTGTTGCCACAACTGAGCTTCAGGGCAACTCTGAGGCTGGATGAGCAAACATGAAGTTCCCTGTTTGATAGATAAGGCAACTATGAGGTATAAAAGGTGATAGGACTCGCCCGAGGGGACACTGTAAATCAACAACAGATCCAGGACCAGGGGACAGGTCTAAACTCCCAGGTCACTGTTCTTTCCTCTTCAAACCTGGGTTTGTAAAGCTCTCACAGAAATCTCTATAGCCTTCCACTTCGATTATCTTCTCCCCGTATTAATCACAGCACAGGGAGGCTTTTTTGGCTTTTCCCCAACACAGTCTCTCAGGTTAAAGCCAGGGAGGCGAGTGAGAACAGCCCCACTGGGAGGGGGCAGAGGGGAGCTGGATGACACTCCCAGCACAATGCCAGGCCACCACCTGTCCAGATAGTGCCCACATTCTGCCCACCTGGCCCCCTCCACCCCACACATATGATTAGGACATCGCAGGAAGGAAAGTTCTCCCAAATCCAAGGAACACCCACAGCCTGCTGCCGTCCCAGTCCAAGGCCCTGGCAATGCCTCCCTTGGACTGGAAGGGATTACTGGGGCAAGAGAAGGGGAGGAAACAAGAGATTATGTCTGTCCCGTCTGGTCCTGCCCCAACCCCGTCCCGCATTCAGCAACTCCAAAGCACCAGGGAGCCCAGATTCCTGCAGGAGAGCCTCCGATGCCCATTAAAGAGCGAGGTGGCAGTGAGACTCCTACAGGACCCTCACTCCCTGTTCAAAAGCTCCAGACACATCCTCCGAAATTCCCTAGAGTCTGCACTCCTCTGAGGAGCACAGACATGACTCATTCCCCACAGGCCAGACTGAGCACAGAGAAGGCTCCAGGATCTGAGAAGGGGATCCTTCCCCCACAGGCACCTTCCCTCCGGGCACGGGGAGGCCTGAGCTCTGGGGCTGTGGAATGGATTGGGAACCCAACAAAGAAGGCCAGACTCTACCCTGAAGGCCGTGGAGCTGGAGATGAGGCTTTTTCCAGCTTCTGCTGGGGATGCTCCTGGGGATACTTCTGCGGTAGCGCCTGCTTCGGCCCACGCTCTGGTAGCCCCCAGATGTCAGAGAAAACTGCAGGAGTAATGACACCCCTACCCCCATGGCAGAGCTCAGGCCTCTGGCTGCAGAGAGGCCAGCCTTACCTGTGGGGAGGGGAGAGAAAACAAGCATGAGGCTCTGAGCTCCGCCAGGGCAGTCATCTTTGTGTCCTCGCCAGGCACAACCCCTCCCCCACCCAAGCCCCACACCCAGCGGGCAGAGTGACCTTAATGGATATTACATTGATAAATAAATATATCCCCTGCACCAAGAAAGCACACAGCTGCGTTTGGGGGTCACTTCCTCCACTGGTAAGGTCACAGCACGAATTGCTCCATGCTATGGCAGCAACTCTGGAATCCCTGCTGGCTCCCCTCCCCCCACCCTCCCCCCAACAGGAATGCCAGGCCCGTTTCCCAGGGGACTGCGCAGGCCAGCTAGTGTGACCAGGACTCGGTTAGAAGCCCCTTGCATGTCCTGGATGGCAAAGGGCCGTGGAGACCCCACACCCCCCCTTTTGTATCCACGCTTGTCCCTTCCCTCCAGTCCCCGTTCGTGGACGCAGGGCTCCACGCTCCCCTAGTGGGCCCTTTCGGGTCGCAGCGCAAAAAGCACCTCAGGGAGCCTGTGCGCAGGTGCGCAGGCTCTCCCCCCACTTGGGTCTGCTTGTGCCCCCCACACAGTGCGCACACGGTCACACGCCCGGCAGGTTGGACCGCCCCGCCAGGTCCCGCGTGGAATCCTACACCCTGCCCAGGACGAACCTCTCCGGAGGGGTGCGCGGAGGCGCGTTGCGCGTCCATGAGGCCGAAAGCCGGCGCCAGCGGCCGCGCTCCCCACCCCACCGAGGCGACAGCAGCAGGTTCGAGTTCACCACTGCCAGGCCTGTGCCCAGCCCCCCCGCCGGTTCCCAGCACCACGTGACTACAGAAGCTGCCGAGGGTCAGTCGCCGGCTCCGGCCGGCAGCCGAGGCCGGAGGGCGGGGCGGGCCGGGCAGCAGTGCCCGCAGAACAGCGTCCCTCGCTGCCCGTAGCGCCCCCTCGCGGGCCGGGTTGAGCGAGGCAGCCAAGGGTCTGACTCCGTTGCCGTGGCAACCATAGCCTGGCTTTTCCGGAACAGGCCTGGCTCAAGTTTCCTGACCCCTTTGTCCCTATGGAGGACACGCGTCCCTGGGCGACCATGTGGCCAGACTTGTCACTCCGCCAGACCCGGCCTTGTGGGCTTCCTAAAGGCTCCAAGCTCGCTCGAACCTTTCGAGGGGGTGCTCCCTCCCCCGGGCTGTCCCCTGGCTGTGCCCTCCACTCTTTGGCCACCTTGACCTTGGCCGCGCTCCGAAATCTCAGGTGGAGTCTGAGTTGCGCTGACATTGACTGGCCAGCGGCGGCGCGCCCGCCCTGAGAGCCTGGCTCCTGGTTAGAAGTAGAAACAGGGTAGGCCTGATTGCGCGACCTTTGAAAATCCCCTCTGTTTCAGAAATTAGCGAGGAGTGAAGTTACGGCATCCGTGGCCGCGGGGCGTGGGGCCATTCTCGCTCTGGGGCATTTGGCTTGGAGACGCGTGGCAGCCGGTTGGCGAGTGCGGAGGCAGGTGCGAGGCACAGGCTCCGGTGACTCACCCGCTAGCAGGTGGCCTTGGCTTCCCAAAGGAAACACTTCTGGGTTTTCTAGGCTACTGCAGTTTCATGGACTTTTATGCTTTCCAACAAAGGCTAGTTTTTAATTGTACAAATATTTTTAAACACTTTTAAAACCTAGTCCCTAAATAAGAAATAGAATATAAAAATCTCTCATACCTTTACCTCCTAGAGTAAATTACATTTAGTATTTGGGTATGACCTGGCCGGTGTGGCTCACTGGTTGAGCGTAGACCCACGCACAAGAGGTGGCCGGTTGGATTCCTGGTCAGGGCACATGCCCAGGTTGTGGGCCTGATCCCTATTGGGGGGCATGCAGGAGGCGGCCAATGTTCTTTCTCATGGATGTTTCCATCTCTCTCTCCCTCCCTCTCTCTCTCTCTCCCCCTAAAATAAATAAAGAAAAAATATTGTTTAAAAAATATATTTTGGTAGGTGTCCTGCATGTTTTTTCTATGCTTATCTATGCATATTGGACATAATTGGGATAATGCCTTGCAAAGGTGTATTCTGCCCTTTTCACATAACACTGCTATGAACTTCCCCCATTTTATTAGATGTTCTGACATGAGTGTTAATGGCAGCATAAATGTACAAATAAATTGTTCAAATTTTTCTGTTTTCTACATCATTATAGATTCATCTCTCATGTCTCCAGAAACCCTCTAGGAAGACCTCAAGTATTGTTTAGAAGCAGCCCTGTATCTGCAAGAGGGAAGACTCCACCAACCTTGTGGAGATAGACTGTTCCAGGTCCTGCTCATACATCCAACAAATATTTAATCAGTGTTCACCATCTGCCACTGTGCCAGGTGCTGCCCTGATCACGAGCCAGGAAGAAATGGTCCAGGCTTCGTTTCCACAATGCCTTATAACCCTGGTTTAGCGATGGCGATCTCTCTTGGGTTAGAACTTAAAATGAAAGAAAGCCAAATGCTTGTTGACAGTTTCTGAACGGATGGCGGCTATTGGAAAGCTGGAGGAGACTAGGGAACAGAGAGGGGGAAACTTCATTCTAACAGAACTTACTTGATCAACTCCTGCAGCACACAGCATCCTGAAGGCAGATTGGGAAACTCACCGAGCTTCTTCCACGTGTTTTCAGGCAGAAACACACCTGCCGCTCACCTTGATGGAAGCCACATCTGCTGGAGCGCCTCACACCGGCACGGTGGCTTGTGGGTGCTCACACAGCCCTCCATCCCTTTCGCCCTCTCAGCATGGGGTCCAGGAGAGCAGCAGCCAAGGCCAGCCCTGAGCAAGGCCCCGACTGCCCACCGCTAGCATTTCAGGTGAGAGCAGTCTTGCTAGGTCATGTGGAAACGCTTCAGGAAGAGATCAGCATGCTCCCACTGCTGCAATTCTAAAAATATCCTTAAAGGCACAGCACATGCGGAGTGCCTGGGAGGATGGAGGACTCCATCAGAGCCGCCCTAGACTGGGGTCAAATGTCCCCACAAACTGCGGCACCGGACACTTTGCTGGGGCATGTCTGATTCCAGGAGTCCATTTTTCTAAGAGAAAAAGAATCTAATTGGTCAAAAGCAAACCAGGTAGACATCTCAGGTTTCCCGTGCGGGCACCAGGGCTGTGAAGACCTACTCACCCCTTCTCACCTCTCCCCCCACGGCCACCGCTCCCACTGGCTCCCGCACGGCCACCGGGGAGCCCAGTCTCCTGAACCCCACTGACCCTTTTAAACATAGATCAGGTGGCTTACGTCACATTTTGAAAACATCGCAAACCACTGCCACAGCCTCTCGGGCTCTATTCGGACTGACGGCGCCTGCCTCCCTCGCTCAGTCATCGGGGCCCTGCTGGACACTGCCCCAGCCGCAGGAACTCATGCCCCCCCGGGGCCTCTGGAGGTGCTGTTCTGTCTGCCTAGGGTGCTCTTCCCCTAGAACTTTACAGGGTCGGTCTGTCACGTCATTCAGATTGGAGCCCAAGCATCCTCTCCTCGAAACATGCTCTTCCCACCTGTGTACTCATCTCCTCTTTCCTGGGGCTGCCGTGGCAAATGTCCACAAACGTGGCCGCTGAGGACAACACCCAGTGATTCCCTTGCAGTTCCCGGAGGTCAGACATCCGCAATCAGTTTCACTGGGCTGAAACCAAAGTGTCCGTGTCCCCTGGAAGCTCTAATGAGGCTGCTTCCCTGCCTTTGACAGCCTCTGGAGCTGCATGCCGTGGCCGCCGTGGCCGCCGTGGCCGCCGTGGCCGCCGTGGCCGCCGTGGCCGCCTCCCCTCCGCAGAGCCAGCGGGGCAGCCTCTGCCTCCGTGGTCACACTGACTTCCGTCTCTGCCCTGCTTAAATCCCCCTCAGCCTCCCTCCTCGCAGGGCCCTTGTGGTTACATCCAGGGCCCATCCAGATAAGTCGGGGCAGCTGTAAGGGCAAATACAAACCAAAACTAAGAAAGACAAGCTTGCATTCTCCTTGGTGCAAAAAGGGGGAAACTTTCTTTCTGAAAGTCAGGGACCTGGGAGCCATGGCTTTGAGGTGTAAGTATCAAGGGAGATGAGGCCCTGTCTCCCAGTCCCCATGGGAGGGTGGAACCCTAACCTGAGTGGACACCTGGCTCCAAGCTGCAAAACTACCTCCAGTCACTAAGACATGAGAGGTGTGGTTTTCCTCTGGGCCAGCCCTTAGCAAACACAGGTGGTTACCCCGGTTCCCAGGTGCTCCCAGGAAGAACTCTGTGTGGCAAATGGCCAAGTCCCCTCACCCGAGGACGAGTGGCAGTTTCTCTGGGGACATGTGTGTGACGGGAGACGTCTGTCTGTCTCGGCAAGCTCCTGGCGGGCTGCCTGGCGTGTGCCCCTCGTGCGGGCGCGATGCGTGCTCAGTAGTGAAGAAGGCAAACCTGTCGCTTCCTTCCGACTTCTGCGAGGAGCTTTTCCGGATGGGCAGGCGATTTTGTGTGTGTTTTTTAAATCTTCACCTGAGGATGTGGTTTTTTGTTTTTGTTTTTTTAATTGATTTTAGAGAGAGGAAGAGAGAGAGAGAAAAATCATCGTTTGGCTGCCTCCCAATTCACCCTGACTGGGGATGGAAACCACGAGGTATGTGCCCTGATCAGGAATCAAACCCACAGCCTTTTAGTGTAAGGGACGACACTCCAACTAGCTGAGCCACCCAGCCAGGGCTTGTTTTTTAATTCTATTTCTTCAACATACTGTCCCCATCCCAAACTGCGTAGTTTAGTTTAATCACACGTTCAGTCCCTTTGGCCATATCAGGGAAGTTTCACAGGATCTAAGGAATAGGATGAGGACAAGCCCGCCACCCACTCCTGCCCCGTCACCTCTAAGCCCTCCTACTTGGTCATACTGGTCTTCATAGCACCTTCTTGAAATCATTTAGGTATTTATTCATTTAGATGGCTTTTGTCTAGTTACCTACCACAGCCTACATCCCACGTAGACAGGGGTTTGTCCCGTCCTCTCCCCACCACGTAGCCAGCGTCCGGAGAGGTGTCAGGCCCGTAGTAGGTACTTGATATGTGTCTGTGGACCAGACAAGCGAGGAAATGGAAGAGCTCACCCCTCGGTTAGGCAGACTCCATTAGATGGCGCCCATCTGCTGAGGGAGCAGCCCGGGCCTCCTGTTTACCACCGGGCCTCAAACTCTCTCCCTCGACTACTGCTTGAGCAGGTATTGGGAGCCCAGCAGAACTTTCAGTGAGAGAAAATACCACTTTTTCTTATAGAAAAATTCAAATCAGTGTGCCCCTGAGGTAACGAACAAGGAATTCAAAAGGAAACTCGAGACTAGCCCTGGGTGGGTGGCTCAGTTGGTTGTAGTGCCATCCTGTACATCGAAAGGGTGCGGGTTCGATCCCCAGTCGGGGCACACTGATCAGAATTTCTCTCTCTCTTTCTCTAAAGATCAATAGAAACAAAGAACAGAAAAGAAGACTTGAGTGTATAACTCCCTCAGATGAAGGACTCATTCTCTTTTCTGGAACGTTGGATTTGGTCTTAAGACCAGACATTGCCAGAAAATGCTGGAACAAATCCTCCTGGTGTCGCAGCCAGGAAAGAAAGTGCTTGACTTTACCTAGAAATTTACGTGTCCTCCCTTTCAAGGTCAAATCCCATCTATTATTACAATGTGTTGTTCCACTCCAGACTGGGATCAGATTGTATCTTCTTCACCTTAATTCAAAAGGCGGATTTAGAAGCCAGTGTGTATCCGTTCTTGGTTTAAAATCTACTAAAAGCCAAGACTGACTTGGAAACACAAGGAAATTCTAAACAGAATCTCTGCTCACTTCGCCGGTTAGCAGCAGCAGGTGTATTTTCCAGGGTTTCGTTTCCTGTGAGTGGCGTCTGCTGTTGTTTGTGGAAGCCGTCTGTCCGTGTTCACCACTTCTAACCTTGGCTTGTTCCTACCCAGACTCCTCTCCACTAAAACTACTCGGTGACTTGGAGGAATCACAGGGTAAAACCTGGCTTCCACTAAGTGCCTTCTAACAGGTTCCAAGACCAGATCTGGGTCATGGTGAAATTTGGTGCCTTCGGAGTTGGCCAATGAAGTCTCAGAAGTTCTCAGAACTGGTTAGCCTTCAATGTCTGGTCTGCGGACCGACACTCCAACCACTGAGCCAAACCGGCCAGGGCAGCCTTCACTGTCTTAAAACACAAGTTTCCTCTTAACGGTATTAAAGGTTTATTTTGTGAATGTTATTGGAAATTACAACAATATATCACATTGACTGCATAGAAAGAGTCTGTTAAATTATTACATTCAACAAATAATGTATGAAATAAAATCAATTTTTAAAAGAACTTGAAAGGTATTTCATTTGATAGCATCTAAACTGCCCTTAGTGTCTTCCTTCCACCTATTGAGAAGAAGGCTCATTATCCAAGCCTATGCTGGTTTTCAGTTCTAGCAAACATGCATCTGGGATATAAAACTGTTGCAACAAATCAATAAATGTGATACACCATCAAAAAGAAAAAAGAAAAAAAATATATGATCATATCAATAGTCACTGAAAAAGCATTTGACAAAATCCAGCACCTATTTTTGATAAAGTGGGACTAGAAGGATCATACCTCAACATAATAAAGGCCATATATGACAAACCTACAGTCAACTTCATACCCAATGGGCAAAAACTAAAAGCATTTCCCTTGAGAACAGGAACAAGACAAGGATGTCCACTTGTGCCACTCTTATTCAACATAGTACTTGAAGTCTTAGCCACAGCAATCAGACAAGAAGAAAAAATAAAAGGCATCCAAATTGGAAAGGAGGACTTGAAACTGTCGTTATTCACAGATGACATGATATTGTACGTAGAAAACCCTAAGGATCCCACCAAAAAGTTACTAGATTTAATAAATGAATTTGGCAAAGTAACAGGATACAAAATCAACATCCAGAAATCTATGGCATTTTTATACACCAATAATGAATACACACAAAGAGAAACAACAACAAAAAAAAATCCCATTTACCATTGCAACAAAAAAATTAAGATACCTAGGAATAAACTTAACCAAGGAGGTAAAAGACCTGTTCTCAGAAAACTACAGGACATTGAAAAAAGAAATAGAGGGAAATATAAAGAAGTGTAAGCATAAACCATGTTCATAGATTAGAAGAATCAACATCATTAAAATGTCCATACTACTCAAAGCAATCTATAGATTCAGTGCAATCCCTATTAAAATATAATGGCAGCCCTGGCTAGTTTGGCTCTGTGGTTAGAACATCGCCCCCCAGACCAAAGAATTGCAGGTTCAACCCACCCCCCTCAACCCCCACCCCCATCAAGGACACATACCTGGGTTGCCGGTTTGATCCCTGGCCCTGGTTGGGCTGTGCAGGGGGCAGCCAATCGATGTGTCTCCCTTATGCCAATGTCTCTCTCTCTCTCTCCCCCTTCCTCCCTTCCACTCTATCTAAAATCAATGGAAAAATATCCTTGGGTGAGAATTAACAAATAAATAAAATAAAATACCAACAGCATACTTCACGGACCTAGAACAAATACTCTAAAAATGTATATGGAACCAAAAAAGACTCTGAATAGCCATAGAAATCTTGAAAAAGAAGAACAAAGTTGGAGGGACTTACAATTCCAGATTTCAGGTTATACTACAAAGCCATTATAATCAAAACAGACTGGTACTGGCACAAAAACAGGCATATAGATCAATGGAACAGAACAGAGAGCCCAGAAATTGACCCAAGACATTATGCTCAATTAACATTTGACAAAGGTGGCAAGAGCATACAATAGAGTAAAGACAGTCTCTTCAATAAATGGTGCTGAAAAAA